TTCATATGCTCTTGGTAAAGTAAGCATATTCTCCATGTGTCTCTGACAACTAGATCGACATATATCCATGTCTACGGCCATCAAGAAAAAAAATGATAACCATCTTACATAATAAATGGATGATGCAGTCTCAGCCGAACTAGAAACCTAAGTTGAGTGCCATCCTTCAGTAAATACCCAACAAAAGACTTTGGATTGATACATGATAATGATTCGGAAGTATCTGAACAATCTCACTCTTCTTAAATAATATCCTCTTTTTTATCTTACGTATTTTTCAACATGAATAACAGATGAAAATCCTGATCGCCGGACATGGCCTCCAAACTCAACCTATATTTACTTCCCCAACATATTCTCTTTTCAGTAGAAAATTTTAAATTAATTTCTTAGAAGTTATTTAAAAAATTATTTTGCTAGAAAATCATAATATTCGTATGGTTAATTAATAGGTTTTTCATGAGACACAATATTGGACATAACTCTACCTAGACATCTCCGATAAGGCGATAAGCCTGCAATAATTCATTTCCATATTTTTCGTTTGATCGGTAAACCCTAATCGATACATTGGTAGAAAACATAGCAACAATTGATATGATATTATGTAAAACTATAGAAAGTTTCTATTAGAAACAATGCATGCCATGGATTAATAATCCGTAAAGTACAATTACAATTTGAAAACTGTCACCAAATATCGTCCAATGTTACACAAACCTACTTGAACATACTTTCATATGTACATTGTTATATGTACATGTAGAACAACACTACAAAATTTGATGACGAAATAAAATATAGAGAATCTGTTAAACAGTAATGAGAGTTACTAAAACAAAGTACATGTGTAATTGGATTCGTTTTGGGCTTGAGAATGTGTTTAGGAGAAAAATTTAGTTAGCATTAAAAAATAAATTATTTAAAAAGCTATACGTAATTGAGTCGTCCAATATTTCAAGACAATAATGGTAAACAAGACAATGGAAAAAATAAATAAATAAAACAACTCTTATCTGCAGGCCACCTTTGTCTTTTAATAGTTAATTTAAAATTAAAGAAATTAGTATCACCCACTTTCAGTTTTTTTTCTACTCAG